GGGGGGGGGGGGGGGGGGTGGGGTGCTGTCATGCGAACCAGAGGGGGAGAGAGAGAGAGAGAGAGAATTTTCTGGTTTTTAAAAACCAATTTCGAAAATATTACAGTTATGCCACTGGGTTTATTTTGATCATAACTTCCTCGTTACAACTCCGATTCGAGCACACTACGTGTCTATGGACTCTTCTCGGTACGATCTACGTTAAAGTATTGGTCATTTCCCCAAAATCCTACCATATTAAAAAGTGACCAAATTACCCCTACCCTGAGGGTAAAATTGTAAATTCATATTCTATTAAATTAATTAAATTATCGAATCTTTTAAATTTGGGTCGGGATGTTACATCACACGAGTATAAACTGTAAAATAGGAAAGCAAAATCGTACCACATGTTTATTATGGAAAATTATTTTTAGTGGACAAACCACTATATAAGAGCAAGGAATACTGAAACAAAATCCTACCTACGGGTTCTTGGTGGATGAACCACATTACAAGAACATTTATTTATATTTTTTTAAAAAAAACCATGCTAAAAAAAAAGAGGAACAATCTCATCTGTTAGGGCTCACTACATAAGGAAACCATGGCATTGATCAATTGGTGAATCTCTTGCTCTTGAGCCTTCATTGACAGTTGAGTGCTCCTAATCTGGGGAAGTAGATCTTCTTTAGCATCAATTCTTGATTGTTGAAGCACTGCTGCTTATTCATTCTGATGATCCAAAGAAACCTCCCAAGTTCATCTTTTGCGCTTTGAAGGAAGCTTTCTTAGCTTCGTGCTCTTCCTGCATTTGGCGAACTCTCTTTTCTGGTTCCCTAATAGTAGCTTCCTTAATATCCAAATCGTCAAGCTCCTTAACAATTTATGTTTTTGAGTTTTGTTTTTTTGTTTGGGTTTCTAAAAATGGGCCTACCAAATGGGGTTTTGTGGCTTTGAACTCAAAATTCAAGTAGGATACCAAACAAACCCTAAAATATCACCAAAAGAGGGGTGAACTCAAGCGAACTACCTCAATTGACAAGGCTGACAATTTCTGTTAAAATTCTCATTAGCAACCAGAAAGCCAAATTGAAATTCAATATACCACACAAATTTCAAATAAGTTTATATTCAGTCCACATTGCATCCAAATTTGAATCCAATCTGTAGATTAGATTAAAGTATTGCTTATATAAAAATAAAAAATCTTTTTTATTTGGATGGAATTATTTATTAAAAAAAAAAAAATTTGGTCAAGACTATTTGGATGGGATTGCATTGCAGTTCATTTGTTAGAAATTTTGACTCATTTTGAGGTATCCTTATTTTCATGCCTTTTTGTACAAGCTCCAAAACACTCGACAGAGAGAGGGTCCACAGTCCACCAGTTGAGAGAAATGGCAGCGATAACTCGGTTGCAGCAACTGCAACTCCTCCACCCTCCTCTCACCCTCAGGCGTTCCCTTCCCTTTCACAAGCCCAAACAACTCACTCGCTCACGCCCTCGCAGTTTCTCCACCTCTCCAATCCTCTGCTCCAACAATTCTCACAACACCCCCGAGGTTCTCTCTCTCTCTCTCTCTCTCTCTCTCTCTCTCTCTTCATACTTGAGATATATATGTGAGATGTAAAGTGTATGTCAATGTGCTGAATGTGTGTGGTTCAGAGCTCGGCTTCAAAGGTGGGAGCAAATGCGTCAATTGTTGGGGATCTACTCGACTACCTCAACGAGTCTTGGACTCATTTTCATGCTACGGGTATTTTAATTAAGTTTTGTATATTTGTTAGCTTAGATTTCTGGTTTTTCTGATGAATTTGTTAGTACTCCTCCGTTTGGTTACTGGGAAAATTAGGGGAAGGAAAGGAGAAGAAAAGAACAGTCTAAACTCTGTAGCTTCCTTATCTTATGTGTAACTGCTAAGATGTGGACTAGAAAAACCGGTCTTTAAGATTTATTTTTAAGATTCCAATCTTAGCAATGATCGGATTCTGAGCCTGAATAATGCTCTTATTTTAAAGAAAGAGGTGCTGAATTAGCTATGGTGTATGGTCGTAATTTTGTTCCAATTAAGAATTGGTCTTTTTTGCAGCTGAAGCGAAAAGACAACTAATTGCTGCTGGTTTTCATTTGCTGAATGAGAATGATGAGTGGGACCTCAAGCCTGGTGGATGCTACTTCTTTACACGAAACATGTCTTGTTTGGTTGCATTTTCTGTTGGAGAGAAGTGAGTGAAACAATCCTACCAGTTGATAAATTCTCTCTAAATGGTTGAAAATGGTTTTAGGCTTTATAATTAGCAATTCAATCTGCATTACTCATAACCTCATTGAGTATGTGACTGGTGGTTACAGTTGGTGAAGTGGGTTTGTAAATTGTGTAGCCATTGGTGTTGACTTCTGTATCCTTGTATGGCCCTCATTTTCTTGTAACATAGTTTGTCTATCAGGTCGCTCATTGAATTGTCCTTACAACAATATAATATATGTCCACTGCTTGCTATTTTCTTAATCTCCCTAGGTTAGTACTTTTCCATCATATTTTTTTCTAGTTTATCATGTTATACTTTCTAACTGGTTTACTGCTTCGTATACAACTGAAGTCGCTCTTTCTTTCTTTTTTTCTTTTCCGTTGTTACGTTTAGTTTTCTAGTTCTACATGATTAGCACTTAATTAATCAAAACTTTTTCTTAGTTTTTCAGGTATACTGTTGGTAATGGTTTCCATGTGATTGCTGCACACACAGACAGTCCATGTCTAAAATTAAAACCAAGATCTGCATCATCCAAGTCTGGATATCTAATGATCAATGTGCAGACATATGGAGGTGGTTTATGGCATACTTGGTTTGATAGAGACCTAAGCGTAGCAGGCAGGGTCATATTGAGAGGCAGCAACGGTTCCTTTGTGCATAAGCTTGTCAAAGTGAAGAGACCTCTGTTACGAATACCAACACTGGCCATTCACCTTGACCGGTTAGCAAACGTCTTCTATAATCCACAGTTTTTTTCAGTTTATTTTATTTTTAACCAACATACTTTGTTTTAAGAATACGTGACCACTGTATGTGAATGGTGAAGACCTTATTCATTGAGGATTATAGATGATAGCATCCCTAAACCCTAAAATATTATTGTGTGATAGTAAAAAGGCCTAGAAAGTACATTCAAATATTTCTTTAAGAGGTAAAATTATATCCGTTTTCTTTTTTAAAGGAAGCAATGATTAAAATATACAGTGCAATCAAGCCAAAATTTAGCATGAGGCATATGGTAAAACTTGATTTTCTCCAATTCCCGACACTGTTTTCTCCAAGCCAAAGCTTGTGAGTAGTCATGGTGTTGTGATTTATAAGTAGTGGGTGATCCCTCAGATTATCTTTTTGTTTTTTGTGTGCTGGTTTAGCACAGTGAACAAGGATGGATTTAAACCAAATGTAGAGACTCAACTAATTCCATTACTGGCATCGAAACTAGAAGAAGCGTCTGTGGAGACAAAAGAGAAAAGTACCACAACATCTTCAAAAGCGGCTCATCATCCATTGCTCATGCAGGTATCTGTTTGGTTTTCCAAAACTAGTTGGTAAAAACTTAAAGGTATCTTTCAAAAGTATAGGCTGGGATATCAGATCTTTGAGTGTTTCCGGTGTGGTGTGATATTCGAGCTTGCACTTTCCATGATCTTTTTTAATGTGACTATGTTTTGAAAATAAAAAAGGTTTACTCATGTCACTCTAAAATACTAGAAGCATATTGTTTCACAAAATTCAAGAAATGTCTTTTCAACATTATAATAAATAAAAAGTGAAAGGAACTGCATTGTTTGTAAGAGTTGTACATAAACAGTGCTTGTGCAGTTATCTCCATTGCTTTTTATATGGTAAAGGTACATTTTCAACAGGAAAGTGCAAGAAAATTACTATATTCATAATAATGTCACCGGTGTTAGAAATGAGAATGCCTCTTCTATGTATCCTTTTTATGCAACTTTAAGAGGCCCAAAAATTTCTTGTCATTTTAAGTTAAAGCATTCAATCCATATCATTCTCTAAACTCTACAGAAATGGTAATACCATGAGACTATATAAAAATGGTAGTTATCTATAAAGAAACGTATGTGATGTGATTTTATTACGTTGGATATATTATGTGGGCATTCCCAAATCAAATGGCCAGAATGGTCCAGTTTTTATGTTTGACTTATATCACAGATATATAGTGTTGGACTTGTGCACTTGTGAACTCTTATATCTAGCGTCAACTTTAACTTAAAACTTCAACTTATTCATTTGGTGCACTAATTTGAGTTTTGTGAAGTAGTTTTAGTTGTCAAATACATTTTCATTGAACTAATACACACAACTATGATTTTTAGGCTCTCTCGGATGAGCTCAATTCTAACATTGACGACATAGTGAGTATTGAGCTGAATGTTTGTGATACACAACCTAGCTGCCTTGGAGGTGGAAACGATGAATTTATTTTTTCAGGAAGGTTAGATAATCTTGCCTCAAGTTATTGCGCGTTAAGGGCTCTCATTGATTCATGTAAATCACCTGGAGATTTATCAAGTGAACAGGCTATACGGATGGTTGCTTTATTTGACAATGAAGAGGTATTTCATTCTTCACAGGTTCTCACAGCATGAAGTTTCCTTTATCCTGATCTTAGTAATTTTCTTGTTATGCGAGATTCAGAGTCATGTGTCTCTAAGGATAGTTTCTGTGCCTCACAAATTCTCTATCTTATGAGAATCTAGTTAATCATTTAATCACTTGTGATGAACTCTAAAATTACTTGAAGGATTATACACATAGGGCCAATTACACTTTACCCCCTCCAAGTCTGCAGTCAATTTCATACCTCATCTTTAACACATTGCATTTTTAGACCTGACATTATGATTTCGTTGCAATGTTAGACCTCCATTACAAATCTTCCAAATTGCCGTTAACTGATGATGTGACAAGTACGGACCCCACATTTTCAGAGTGTCAGTCATGAACACAAATGCCACACTATCTGGAAAGCGGATATTTACTTTTTCTCTGTGTGTAGAGGTCCATGTTTTAAGTTCTTTTTCACTTTATGTTATTATTTTTTGAATACATGAGTTTGCTATGGAATTGCTAGTTTTTAACCAACATGTTATTAATAAAACCAGTTATCGCTGTCTGTCAGATGTCTTTCGATTTGTTAGTTCTTATTTCTACAAGGCACATCCTCTTGCTACTCATTTTGCAATTATAAATGATAGTAGTGTTACATGTGCATTATCTCTTGCCTTTTGGACCAGTTCACAGATGTTATCTCTAACTCTTATTGTTTAGGTTGGTTCAGGCTCAATTCAGGGGGCTGGTGCTCCAACCATGTTTCAGGCTATGAGACGTATAATTAGTTGCTTAGCTGACAAATATGTTGGTGAAGGTGCTTTTGAGCGTGCAATTCGCAAATCATTTCTTGGTATGATTGAGTGCACCTTTATTTTTTTTCCTGCTGGACTTTTTATAATTCTCTTTTCGTCATTACGTTAGATTTTTTTTGTTTAGCTTTATGTATGTTAAATTGTTGAAAAAGGTGTAAGCACTACAATTCTATCCCCGTGTACTATTGTTGGTATTAACAAATGTCATCAACTTTTCCAGTCACATGCCTGAAAATAAATGTACCCCAACTTAGGGTTCATAATTTCATTCTAGGAAGTTTTTGACCTATTATTTAGAACTATACCATGATATACTACAGTTTGGTCCATTTCAATGGAAGAATTTAAAAATAAGGTTTGGGTTTGATTGTAAATTGGTTTATTGGCCTTTAGCAGTATGAATTTCCTATGTTCATAAACCACACATAAATTTGTTTATTTATGAACAGGAAAGGTTTCAAATATTCAAGTGAAAAATTTATTTTCAAATCCCTCCTTTTCTAAGACAATCAAATTTGTATTTGATTGACATAAGGAATTAATATTTCTAAAGTCCAGTTCAACAATTTACACTAAAAATTCAAATCCAAAGCCCTCATTTTAAATCCTTCCATTCAAATGGAAACCATGTAATAATTTCATATAATGATAAAATACTGAGTGGACAATGATGTTCGAGACAGTGAAGCTGGGAATAATTAAGACAATACATAGATATTGTACATTCTTTTATTTTCTACTTTAATTGAGTTATCCCTGGATACTAAATTTGTACTCAAACAGATTCTAACAGAGCTACCACACTAATGCACATAGGGAAAGGGCGAGGACCACATTAATTAAAGTTGGGTTACCACTTTGATGAAAGCCCAAAAGTTCAAGGGCCATTGCTTGATGAAACCCCATAAATATATGAGCAGGCAAAGACATTAGTGTTGGTCCTGACACCAGTACAATCTAACAAACCCCAAAGAAGTTTTGATAGACTGTTATATAGCTCATTTTATTCTTTTGTGACGGGCATATAACTTATTTCGTTCAATTTCTATTTTCTGAGTGTGTATTTTGGATGCTTTCTCTTAATAGTGTCAGCAGACATGGCTCATGGTGTACACCCAAATTTCATGGACAAGCATGAAGAACACCATCGACCAGAAATGCAAAAGGGACTCGTTATCAAGCATAATGCAAACCAACGCTATGCTACTAGTGGAGTTACATCTTTTCTTTTCAAAGAAATTGGCAAAATCCACAACCTTCCAACTCAGGTATTCACTGTTGGCCAACCCAGTTTGGTTAACCCGTTTAACAATCTTGCATTAAATAAGTCAGGTATTCACTGTTAGCGAGTAATTTCTTTCTTTTCGTTTATTTACTGGCTCCAAAAAATAAAAAGATTACTTTCTAAAAGTATATTCAAATGTTGCTGACCTATTACAGCAAAAATTGAAATCCATATCGCTTAGAAACTCTGAAGGTCACTAGTGACTTTCTTTTCTATATTAAAAACCACCCTCCTTCTCCTCTTCTCCCTTTAATTTAGCGTCTCCTTTGTGGATGAGATTCTATAGAACGACCTCAATGATGAGGTACATCACTCAAGGATAAATCAGTCCTGTTTTGGAATTCATTTTAAAGCATTTCAGGATGAGGTCAACAAGTGGCAGCAAATGACTATATTTTAGCTCATCACTTTTTTACCTAAATAAAGAATATTGAGTGGTTTATATGTTTGGTTGATTCTTTTTCTACAATCTCTACCTCAGATAACTGTAATTTAGCTCATCACTTTTTACCTATTTGATTATTTCTTATTAGGAATTTGTGGTGAGAAATGATATGGGATGCGGATCTACCATAGGTCCCATACTAGCTTCAGGGGCTGGTATTCGTACTGTTGATTGTGGCATCCCTCAACTTTCCATGCACAGGTATTGCAATAGATTGATGTGTCACATTAAAATACATCTCGAATATTTTTAAACCAACTGCTATTTTGTGTTTCATTTTTCATTTTTATTTTTGGTATAAATATTATCATTTTGTAATTTTTGTGGTCTCACTCTGGACTCGGCCATTTATTTCTATGATACTGTCATGTTATCTGCCGCATCATGTGGTGGTTGGCGACTCTGGTATTATTGATCATAATAATTGGCTTTAAGAAATAATTGGATTATATTTCTTAATGGGCGGATACCACTGGGTGGCGAGTAACAACTATCTATGTGTAGGAAAGCTTTTGGTGACTAGTATTATTGATCACGATATTTTGTGATGAGTAGACACTACCATTGGGTGGGACTTAGTACATTCAGTCTTGCATCTGGGGTTGGGTTAAATTATTAACAAGTTAACTATAGTGAGCCTTTCCTCCAAACAAAATGAAATTGAGACACTAAACTAGTAAAGTGAATACATATTATTGATTAACTATCGTCATAAGAATGATGAAATCTTTAAGCATTTTGATATTTCCCACCAAGATAGGTTAAAGTATATGAGCACTCCTTTATATGTAACTGATATATGAGCGCTCCTTTATAGGTTAAAGATACGTTAATATTGTATGTCTGAATTTTAAAATTTCAGATAATCCTTATGGATGTATACCTAGAGGAGTAATAATTATTTCTTTCTAGAGAATGCGACATATTAGTGTTAGTAGCTGCACACACACAAACTCCTAGTCCTGCGTTAGAAGGATATGCAGCCAACTGAATACACCTTGTAGAGTCTTTCATCTCTAAATATCCTAGGAGAAAAGCTGTCAAGGCCATGCAATTTTTGGTTTAATTTGTCTACTCATTCTACTGGATCTTGTTTTTTCATTTTTTATTTTTTCCAATTTCTGCTTTTCGTGCTCTTGGTTTTCTAGTGGCACGTAACCTTGTTCACTGCATTAAGTATTTGATTCCATTTTTTGTGGCTGTTATTCTGATGAGCTGAAAATTTGTTTTGCAATGAGATGATGTCAGGAAGAAGACAGGATATTGTTTGAGTAAAAAGAGAGGAAAATAATAAAGAAAGCATTTCCATGTTGTGATATTGTGATTCTATTGATTCACATTTTAAGAAGAGTCAATTGATCTTGTGAGAGAATCAATTGGCTTATTTCTTCCTGTCGGAACTGCTTTTTGGGAAAAGGAAAAGGAAAAGAAACATTAAAAATAATAAATAAAAAGGATTGCCATTCATTTTTTGTTACTCTCTGATACAATGCTGTTCTCTCCAACCTGGTATGTTGAAATGAATCATCACTGTTGCCTTTCTTTACTTCTATCGTTAACTGCAGTGTTAGAGAGATATGTGGGAAGGAAGATATAGACATCGCTTACAAGCACTTCAAAGCATTTTACCAAACTTTCTCCAGCATAGACAAGAAGCTGAATGTAGATTCGTAAGTTGCCTTTATAGCCTTGTCTGAATTTAGTATTCATTATGTGTGTGTGTGTGTGTGTGAGAGAGAGAGAGAGAGAGAGAGAGAGTGATTTTAAATAATTCCTTACATTCAAGAATCTTATTATTCATCACATTGTTTTTCCCTGCAAAAGGAAAATTTGTTCAAGGCTAGATTTTGGCAAGAACAATGAACTTTTTTTTTCCTGGTTGAAAGGTAACAAGAACTTCGTTGAAGCGAAAGTCTAGCAAGACAGTTTGGGCACATGGAGGTTGCATCTGTTCAATTACGGTTTACTGGAATTGATGGAATCTGAGGAGGAAGCAGAACTAACATCAATGTCAGGACTACCTCTTAGCTTTGTGTCGGCCTTGGAGAGTTTTTGCTTCAGCTCAGATAACAAAGCCTGGTTCTCCTGGTTGAGCACTTGAGCTTTCTTCCTTAGCATTTCATTTTGTCGGATTATATAACAGTTTTGCAAATGTATCTGCGAGTTCAGCTTCTCCATACCAAATTGTTGGATTAAATGAACTAATGTTGTTGGAGAAACAGAGTGAGGAACTTAATTTCAATTGGACATATAAATACTACATCTTCGCATATAGGGAACAAAACAAGCACCCGGGAAACTATACCGACTTGAAAACAAGAAACACCCATCTGCAAAGCCCCCTTGTCTGCCTTTTTCATGTTTTGGAACTTGAAAGAGCACCTTTGATAAAGTTGGAGTTTTTCACGTAGAAGAGGGGAGTATTGCACGTAAGGGTGAGCATTGCACGTGAGGATGACTTGTTTATAGGAAGTTCCTCGAGGGACAAGGAGGAGAAAAATGTGAGAACTAAAAACAATGGAAGACATGGTCTAAGACAACGAAAACAAAAAAACAAACACGCATGACAATGATGCAGCCTCAACACCATGCTTATGCACGTGTTGCGGAGTGACTACCTAAGGAAAGAACTACAGTACAGACCCATATGGCGAGCTGGATTATATAGCTTCCTAGTCAAACGTTTAGTGGCTTAATATATATATAACTTTCATTGAGAGATCTTTTAAATTAGTTTATTTGAGGAACACCCTTGTAGAGCCCACTCAGCATTGTATTTCACTAATCCAAACCGTCTATATTTAAGATAATCATTCAAAGATCATCTCTATAAAAAAAAATCACTTGAATCTAATATTGTTTAACCACTCAATTGTGTTACTGAAATTTTAGTACTTTCTTAAAGTATCGTGTTCATTGATTTTGTAGTGCATTAGTTTGTAGTTTAAACATGACCACTTATTCGAATTTTAGTAAATCTCAACTTGTGGGGTGTATGAATTTTAAACTACAAACTAATGCTTACCCTGCCCTAGGACTCGTATTTTGTTTGTACACAATCAATGAAGGCCTCACCGACATATGTTGCAACGTCTTCAATAGCATGCTCCTATTTCGTCTTTCTTAAGCCTGTAACATATTTAGGTCAACGGAGAAAACGTGTCCCTCATCTGATGATGCAGGGGACCCGTCCAAGCGGGGTAGACAATCTTCTCTCAAAAAGAGACAGACCAGAGATGACTGGGAAGGTATTCGGTTCAAAAAAGATACAACAGTCAGAACAGCCTCAGCCAAATACTTGGAGGGGCGCACTGCAAGGAGGGTCCTTTTAAGTAGATGACTCGTCGGGCCGTCAGAGCGGGACTTTGTGCTAGTGCAGGTGAAAGTTGCTTGACCATTAGGGAGAGGAAGATTAAACTAGCTCGATCAAAAGTAGGGACTCACTCGATGGCTTTTTTTGGAGTAATGAAAAAATTCCATTGCATCCAAATCAACCTACGATCTAAACTAGCTCAATCAAAGGCTGGGATTTCCCTTCATACGACGGAGATGCTGAGCTTAATAGGAGCAAGAGACTTGGTGGCAACAACCAGAATGAAATATTATTTAATCGTGGAAATGTCATGTCAGGTGCACCGGCTAATGATTCCATTTTTGATAAACATGTGATTCGCATCTTGCTTTCAAAACATTTGCTACTACAAGCTGTAAAAGCACCATTAGTGACTCTTAAGAGAGCAGTGCGCTTTCGACCAAGAAACAGAGCAGTGAGCTTGCATACGGGAAATAAAGCAACCTTCTTTTGACAAACATCTTACAAGCCCCTGTAGCTACACCCAATAGTGAATTCTGACCTACTTTCTCGGGCACATTGTGTCCAAACTCGAAATACTTGTCCGGCAAAGAACACCACACCAAAATGAAAAAATTTAGGTAGTCACAACCAAAAACTTTTTAGATTCATGCGATATCATTGGATGCAGCCTGAAAAACAACATGTCTAGAGTGCACACAATTTAACGACCCACAGACCTGGCGAGGGTTTTAGAATTGCTACAACAGATAATTATCACATTCAAATAAAACAAAGGTGGTCATAAAAATAAATAAATGCAGACCAAAGTGTTATATGATACATGATGCAGAATGACTTTTTTTTTTATTTTTTTCTGCAGATTGTTTTAGTAAAGCTTTAAAAGTAAACTATAAGATCTTTTGTCAGAACAACCTGGATGTAGACCAAAGCTCCCAGAGGCATACAAATAGCTTTATCTTCCTATTCGCACTCCCTCTGGCTCTTCATTGTGCTGCTTACTCTCTAAACAAACTACCAAAGCCTGCAAAACAAAATCCAAAGCGATTTGTTCATGCTTCTATTTAATGAATATATACACAAAAGTCTATCCAAGGAGAAGTTGGAAACTGGCATATCAACTGCGAGATCAGATCATCCTATCCACTGTCACCTACTGTGCATCTCATCGTCGGTGCAAGTACTCAAGTTTTTTCATAAGATGATGCAAGTGTTCAAGTTGGATCTTCAATAAAACACCATTCTGGGTGGTGTATGAGCATGTGTGAATGTGTGTTTGTGTTGTGTTTGTGTTTGTGTTTGTATTTGTGTGTCCATATATACATGCACTCATGCGTGTCCTGAGAGCATACCTTCATCCAAGCAGAGCACATACTTTCCCAGCTCTGTTAAAATTCTTCTAGATCATCGTCTTCGTCATCATATGGGGTAAACAAAGCTCTCAAAAGAGCTGATTTAGATATATTTCCAGAAACGTGGAGCTTCTTCATCATTCATCATGGATGGGAGAAGCTTCCATTGCAACCAAGGAAGGGGGGAATGGATGATGCAGGTGTCCATAGAATTGATCCATCCACTCAAGCCCACCTTGGTTCTCTATGCCTGCACTCCTGCCAACTGAAATATGTGCGGCTCTCACAGCCCATCACACTTTATGCTCAACTCTGAGCAGGCAGGGTGCAGGCATGGCCCCTGCCCCTCACCGGGGCCGGGCTAACCCAAAACTTGCATCAGGTTGCTGTTGATGAGACTGTAGAAAAACAAGCATCATATTACAAGCAGTCAAAACATGTGGAACCTGCTACTTAAGAAGCATTTTACTAATAAATAAAAACTCTCCACAATTTTTTATTCATCAACAGGGTTTTTTATATTAGAATCACTGCACTGAAATTGCAATTTAATATGCATATCTGTGGTTCTACTTTAGATTACTATTTTCCAAGATTAGCAGGAGGAGAAAAAAAATATATATTTAAAATTAATTGAACACATCACCAGTTTTATGCCAAAGGTTATTCAAGGGAAGCAATTAAAAAAACATCTTTTTCTTTTCGTACACTAGGATTTTAGAAAGAAAAAAAAAACTTGATGATAAGGCTGAGGCTACTTCAATGGCTGATAATAAGCCAGTTGGTATTAAAAATATCATAATATGGACTGAAATTCGAGGTAAAGACCACAAAAGGAATCCATTAGCACTATACAATGAAGTTGAAAACATTTAAAAGGAAAAAAGGATATGGTCCCCCTTCCTCGAGAAAAAGTGATCAGAAGTCTCACATTCCGCATTTTAAAAAAAAAAGAGATTACATCTTCAACAACAAATTAACAAGATTACTAAAACACTAGAGAAGATAGCTGTTAAATCGCCACACCTGTGAAAAAGGTTGGTGCATATGTTCATGAGGATGGAGAAAGGGCATTCCAGGGCGCTGACAAGGATACTGGGATGAATGCAGATATATGCCAGATGTAGATCGCGCACCAACATGATTCGCATTAAATGGTGTGATTATAGTCTCTGGATGACCATAACCAATTCCTGCAGGGACTGATGGTGCAACCCAAGGCCCAGGTAGGTGTTGTGGAAGAGGACGAGGCTGATGTTCAGTAGAAATCTGAGGCCTATGAGCAGCACCAAGTTGAGGAAATTCGGTGTTGTAGTTCAATGCAGGTGTATACATAGGCTGGATGGTATACGGTCCACCAGTGAATCCAAACCCAGGATCGAATCTTTGCATGTACCTGAAAAAATATTTTATTACCGGATTTATTCTCATCCTGATCCACCATAGACCATAAAACTTTAGCTAACTATAAAATAACAAAACTAAGTACACTTGGAGCTATACAACAATGCATGCTCCAGAACAATTTTCTGGTCTGGGCTACATGGAAAACTTGATAGACAACAACATTCTACCCTTAAGTTCTTACTTTGTTGGCTTCTATCAATTATAGCATTCATTATTATTATAAGTAGAGATGGATAAAAAAAGTACAGAGGGGAAATATCAGAAAGCATATTTAGGAGTTTGAAACATGTATTGGCAGATTGTCCACAAACAACAGAGGTCACCCTATGGATGAAAGGACAGACTTCAATACTGACAACAATAACAATGTTCATAAGGAACCAATTTTCCATGAATAGATAAGATAATCTCATTATCTTTTTTTTTTAAACAAGAAAATCATGTTAAAAGAAAAGAAAGGCGGTAGCTTAAGTAAACAGCAAAACTTAACTGGACCACCTGACCACAATAAAAATTATGAAACAAGAGTTGGCCTCCAAAGACAAAAAATTCATGGTCACCATATGGATGAAAGGACAGGCTTCAATACTGACAACAATTACAATGTTGGTAAGAAATTATTTTTTGCATAGATAAGGTTATCATATTATCTTATTTTCTTTTGTTTACCACAAAAACAAGGAGAAAACCATGTCAAACAAAGAGAAAGACATTAGCTTAAGTAAATAGAAAACTGAATGGGGCCACCCGACTGCAAAACCAATTATGAGACAAGATCTTGACTCCAAACAATTTTCTTAGATTAAACAGAAATTATCTCCTTCCCAAGGAAAAATAAAAACAATGTTCCTGCCATGACCCCTTCCAAAGAAAAAACTGGGAGGCGAAAAAAGCAAATACAGACAATGTATACCATACCTGTCATAGCTCCGGTCATAATCAGGGTCCTTCCGATCAATCTCACGATCCCTAAATATAGCTACCCTATTATTTGGTTTGTACCGCCCAACTGGCTCCTTCTCTGGCCTACTTCTAGCTGTTCTACTGCTACTTGTTGAGGACTCAATTAAACCCCTACCAGAATGTAAATCAGAAACACTTGACTTATCTTCCACCTTTGGCATCACCAAGGGAACGTGTTGTGGAGTATCCTGCAGTCTTGGTTCACTTTCTGATTTCCCACTTGAACTGCCACTCATATTAATACTCGAATTAAATATTCGTGCGCGAGCCCTGTTATACTCTTCTTTCCGTTCTTCAACAGTTTTGGAACTGTTTGCTTTTGCCGAATTTGAATTTGCATTGTTGGCAGTCTGTGACCGTTTCTGTGGCCTCTGTTTTATTGCAACCTTAGTAACACCACCGTCTTCTGATGGTAAACTAACAGGTATGTCTGCAAGGCGAATCTGAGGGAGTCGACACTCAGAAGTTTTACGGACAATAATTCTGGAACCAGAGCCATCAGGTAAATTATTATCTAATAAAACCATTGACTGAAGTGAATAATGCTGAGCCACACGGTGTGCAGCCAAGCGTAAATAAGAAGTGGGCAACTGCTGAAACTCTAGCTGCTGCTGAATAGGATCACGGATAAACTTCTCAACATCTTGCTCCATCCGTAAAACTGCACAAGAAGATATCTATGAAGTTCATTATTATGAAGAGATAAATCCAAACAAGACAGCACATCCTGACTGCATGAACCAAACATATCATGACAGCAACTATGATAAAATAGCAATGAATGAAGAGGATGATGAGGATGATGAGAAGTATAAAGAGAAAAGAAGGGTGCAATTATTATCACAACATCTTCTAGGTCAATCTTTTTCATTTCTTGTAAAATAGTGTATCACATTCGGGCTTTACTCTGCATCTTGAGCTTAATTATGATTTAAAAATATCAAGGAACATTTTCAATCCATAGTTTAGTACAACTAGTAGAAAGTGTACTGTTGGACAAACATAAAACAGGAGAATCTCGAGAGCCAGGAGGGAGGGGTGAAGATCTTTAGATGCGCACACACTAATATTTTACATTGAAAAATCCATGAAACAGTTATGTTGTACATATGGACTTCTAAGTTAACTGTTTCTAAAGATCCCAAGAAATAAGGTTTACATCTAGTTCATTGGCCACACTGTTAGAAGTTAGCATGGAGAGTTGAACGAATTTCCCTTTTGCCAGTTCCAGCCTTGCATTTTTTTACAGGTGCGTGCAAGATTTTATTTCTATCACAACAACAAACCATCCTTCAACCCTGAACGTACACACATTTCTCCCTTTATTCCACATAAATTCATGTCAAATACTGCAATGCAATTTGATAATGTATAACAGTAGTCACACTCTTTCACCGTCAACAGGGACGGACCCAACCATAGGCTGACCTGGGGTTTACCGTACAGCCTACCCCACTTCACGCATCAGTCCTTTAACATGTTCAATTTTCTTGGCGAGTCATATTTTATTGGTGGAATGTTAGCAAAAAAATTATTTTATTGGTGGAATCTTACAATTTTCTTTAATCAATTTGTTGTTACTGAAATTTGGGGATTTTTTAAGGTTCATGAAGTATAAATTAGGGATTTTCAATTCAGTGTTATGAATTATCAATTAGGGATTTGCAATTAAGTTTTGTAAGTAAGGTAAATTCCGTCCCTGACCGGCAAAGCTATTACACCCTACAGAATCTTAAAATAGAAAACTGAAGGAACTCCTGAGTCTGTTTTGATGCGCATGTACATTAAAACATCCAAAAATAATAAGGGAGAGCCATTTAGTCAAGAACTGGAAGAGATGTTATATCATGTGATCTTCATCTTTCTTGCTTTCCGGAGGTACGAAAGCCCTCTAACGATATCAGCTCAAAATTTGAATGGAAGTGTTCATCCAGTAGCTTATTACTTTTGCATGTGTCTTGATTTCTGTTATTCATTCATGGATAATGCACCCCATTAAAGGACATACCTTCCAATAGAGAGAACATTTCAAGGTCAACAAAAATGACATACTAAACCAGTTGCATACAACCCATCCAAAGACAAACATACTAAACCAAATTACCCTAATTTTGATTCAATTTCCCCTGCACTTTTGAAGAAGCTTAAGAATAATCTGACGGTCAAAACATGAACGTGACTTTTTTGGTCGGAGTAGGCAATTATAGGAACAAAAACACATATATCAAACTACCTAATACTTAGGTGAAGCTTACTTGACAGGCGCTCCCTAGGGTTTTGCAAGGCCTCGCGAAGGAATTGGTCGACTTGATTGAGGGCATCCTCGGAAAACTTATCAGAAGCATCAGAAGCCGAGGAAACCAAAGGCGAGACATCGTTGAGGTCTTGGGGCTTGGAGTCTTTGTTGGAGGAAAGCATAAGGCGGTTCATGGCCTCGTCCAAACCGGCGACCTCCCATGACTCTGGGGCTCCGAGATCCTCCACCACAGAGCCCTCCATAGCCAGACGATCCCTCCTCCCTCCTTCTCTCTGTCCCAATATACGTACGAATACGCAATCGAAAGCAAAGGGCAAAAGACGAGGCTAGGGTTTGAGGATGGTTGGCGAACAATTCATCAAAGGACGTATGTGTCCTCTGAGACTGAAACCCCAACGAGATTTTGGGGTTTGGATTTCATGAGAATTTGGGGGTTATTCTAGGGTTTCGGGATGAGAACGAAGAGAGAGAAAAATAAACAGATAGAATGAGATTGAATGGGATTTAAAGAGGAAGAGAGATAGGGTTTGAGTTTGACGATGGATGGCGTGTTTTTGCGGGTGGGTGGGATTTTCTTTCTCACGTACCACGTGGCCTTTTCCGTTTTCTATTCTTTCTTTATTTTTCGACAAATTATATGAATTCATTTAGATAGCCAGTTTTGGAGTGAATACTCCAAGGCCCTGTTTGGCTCACGGAATGGATTTAAGGGAAAATCATTTCCTATGTCATTTCTCAGAAATGGGAAATGGAAGATTTCTTTCCCATGTTTGGTGATGCCGGGAAAGTAACTTGGAGATTTCACTTTGTTTCCTTTTCCATGTTTGTTTTGAGTAAGAATTGAAAACAAAGTTTGTATAATGTTCCAATTATACCTATATTAAATCAAATAAAAAAGAATGCATTTAATGCTACATTGTAATCTTAAATTGTTAATGGGGACAAAATGGTCATGAAAACTGTGCATTGAATGTTGGCTCATTTTTCCAAACTTTCCCATAAGGAGGGAAAACAAAACCCAAGTTGAGAGGATGGCTTCATTTTCCCCCATATTTTCTCATGTGCCAGGCTGAGGGATTTGGTAGGGAACAAACACATGTGAAGACACCTTTAAAAAATGCATGAAGAAATCAACACAGCAAGGCCAGCGACCAGTCGCACGTTATTGGCAATGGCAACCGTCGCTTGCTGCGACTTCCAACTTCTTCAACTCTGCTTCAAAACGACCGGTCGCTCCTTCCTAGCGACCGGTCGCCTCCTGCTTCACCTGCATACTAATTGTGAGCCAATTTTACAACAATCTCTACCTTAGTGAACCATTAATCACCCTTGAAATATTGTTAACCTCTAGAACCTCTTCAAACCTCTTAGAAATCGTTCTAGTAATTTCCAAGAGCTCCACCATGGCAATAACCCTCTTGCCTTAATGCACCTTTGGTGGAAGGTGCTCCACCCAATTCTAAACTTGGGTAACCTGGACCTCTTTTGCAGAAGAGAGATCCCTCATGCCAAATTCCTTACTCCATGCCTTTTTGGAACCTTGAATCTTGGACATGCCTTGATATGTCAATCGCATACCTATCCTTTGTTCAATAAATCCCTACTTAGCTAACCTTGCTTTTGGATTTAAGAACATATCCCTTTTCATCAATGCACCTCTCCAACTTTCCTACTTCATGCTCCCTATAGCACTCCGAAATGTGGCTGGAACTTCTTGGTCCATCCATCCAAAACCTAGGGACAGTTTGATGGATTCCTTGGGCCCGGACCTTGTAATTGATGATGGCTCCACCTCAAGTAGAACTACTTTGTGAGTTTGTTGTTGTTGCCCTCCTTCTTCAGCCCTTGTGTCAAGCTCTACCTCAAATGGAGTCTCTTCCATGACCACCTTGGCAAGAAGCTTCTCTTCAACAACATCCTCCCCATCATCCCTTGTCTTGACTTCACCTTTGTGGATCTTTTCCTTTGACTCCACAGCTTCTGCACCTTTGAAATCAAGCACCTTTGATGATGAACTATTAGTCACACAATCTTAACTAACCTTCCTTGCCCAACTTGTCTTGAGCAAACCTGTAGCTGCATTATGTTGAACCGGCTCCTTGATATTAAGATATGTTGCCTGCTCTTCCTTGGTACAATTCTATGCACCTCCTGCAAATGTACCACTCAAAAGCTTGTATGTGTTGTTTGGTTGAATCTCCCCCCTCATAACCACAACAGAACCTTGTGTGACTATGAGCTTCCCTCCTTCGACCTTGTAAGAACACCCTTCTCTATCCAAAGAGCCAAAAGAGAGTAGATTCATTCTTAGTGCAGGTACAAACCTTACTTCACTAAGACTTCAAACTTCACCATCTTGCAACTTGATCTTCACAGTCCTTATCCCCAAAACTTCACATGTAGTTTTGTCTTGCAACATAATCTTGCATGCCTTCTTAGCCTCATATGTGTCAAACATTAACTTATTTGCACACACATGATATGAGCACCTGGAATCTAATATCCAACTTGAAGTAGAACTCTTACCCGAAGAACTTGTCATGACTTCACCATTACTATTCTCCGTAACCGTCAAAAGTTCATCACTTATGTCTTCATCACACATGTTGGCTGAACTTTCGGCTTTCTTCATCTTCTTCTGCTTCTCCTTCCATACCGGAAAATTCTGCTTCCAATGGTCCTTAGACCCACACTCGAAGCACCCTTCATTGTCCTTGGACTTAGCATTCTTTCTGTTGCTTCTCTTGCCGTCACACTTGCTTAAACGGTTCTCTGCGAATAGACCCACATCTTGAGAGTTCTCCTCCGAACATTGGGACATCCTGTGATGCGTCATCACATCTTGCACCACTTCCTCAAAATTCAAAGTACTTTTCCCGAACATAAGCATAGTCCGAAAGTGCTTATAGAATGGAGGTAAAGATGTTGGAAACATAAGAGCCATCCTCCGTACTATAATTAACTTCCATTCTCTGCAAATCAGCAACACATCTATTGAAGCTGCTCAAATGCTCCATTAGATTACCTTCCTCCTCCATCCGAAGATTTAGAAGTTCCTCCTTGAGGAAGAGTTTGTTGGACAGCGACTTCCCTGCAAACATCTCTTCGAGCTTCTCCCATATTTGCTTCACTGTGTCTTGCATTACGTTGATGAGCACCTCATCTGCGACTTCCAACTTCTTCAACTCTGCTTCAAAACAACCGGTCGCTCCTTCCTAGCGACCGTTCGCCTCCTGCTTCACCTGCATACTAATTGTGAGCCAATTTTACAACACTAATATGTTCTCACCATTGTGTATCTGCGAATAGACCCGCATCTTGAGAGTTCTCCTCCGAACATTGGGACATCCTGTGATGCGTCATCACATCTTGCACCACTTCCTCAAAATTCAAAGTACTTTTCCCGAACATAAGCATAGTCCGAAAGTGCTTATAGAATGGAGGTAAAGATGTTGGAAACATAAGAGCCTTATCCTCCGTACTATAATTAACTTCCATTATCTGCAAATCAGCAACACATCTATTGAAGCTGCTCAAATGCTCCATTAGATTACCTTCCTCCTCCATCCGAAGATTTAGAAGTTCCTCCTTGAGGAAGAGTTTGTTGGACAGCGACTTCCCTGCAAACATCTCTTCGAGCTTCTCCCATATTTGCTTCACTGTGTCTTGCATTACGTTGATGAGCACCTCATCTGCGACTTCCAACTTCTTCAACTTTGCTTCAAAACAACCGGTCGCTCCTTTCTAGCGACCGTTCGCCTCCTGCTTCACCTGGATACTAATTGTGAGCCAATTTTACAACACTAATATGTTCTCACCATTGTATTTGCTATCCTTGTACGTATAAATTTTTTGGAAGATAGGAACTATATCAAGATTATTCCAAAATTTGTATTGTTGGAATTCAAGACCATTTAGTATATTCTCAAATTTCTTCATGCGCTTCTCACTCAATGTCAGGTATTCCCATACGTCATGAATACGCAACATTCTTTCAGCTGGAGTATGTAGAAAGGGATGATTTACAAATTTCTCAATAAATTTATTGTACCTTTTAAAAAAAAAAAGGTGTAAGTCAAATAAAATTTTATATATATATTTAATGTAAAAACTAATATGACAACAAAGTTTCTTACTCAAATTTGTTATTGTCAAAGAAATCACAAAAGTGGTCCCAATTAGGCCAAAAAACTCCATCTTGCCGGAGTATGCGACTCGTTAAGATATTCCCGAACGCTTTCAAATTGTTGATTCTCAACATTCATGCTTCTTTAGGACTTATAGGATCTCTGGATATTCATTATTTTTATTTGATCACAGACGAAAGCATAATTACTTATTTCGTTCACACTCGTAAGAAAAGACTTACGAGAATGTATATATTTTATTGTCTTTAAAACACCCCTGCACAAAGGATTAAAAACCATTATCAATTTTAATTTTAATATAATACATATTTGAGGAAAAAAAATGAAGTGAATAAGTATTACCTAATATTCTTGCGCTAACAATGCAATAGTTCATGAGAATTGCCAATTCTCACTGGTGCTACAACATCATTCTCACCTAGAAGATTATGGAATCATTCATAGCAAAGAATCCAGGAAGTTTGTGGTTTAAAATATGTAACGAAGCAGGCTTCCAAGACTCGTTCATGATGCAATGTGGAAGTAGTGAAAAATATGTTTTTAGCTTCTTCCGGTTGTTCAAACTTCAAAAATGGAACCACTTTTTGTTTACCATTTTAAAAGTAGATTTTCCCAATAGAGTAGGCTTGAGATGGTGCGTAGTTTAACTCGTATTCAACAATTCGAGCATCAATTATCTGGGAAAAGTGAAGGTTCTATCATTCATCCCCTCATACAAACAATAATAAAACTAAAATAAATAAAAACTAGGCATAGCATGTTAGTCAATGTTTTGAGGGGGAGTATTGGACAACCACACACAAATCCTGGAAAAGCTTGTCTGCCACATAGGAACCCATTTCCATGTTCCATGTTTTAGGGAAACACAAAGAGCTGGAGATAGAAACACACTTCTATGTTTTGTGTCTTTGTTTGTAGTGTTTTTGTCTGTAACTATGTAACTAACGGATAGCTAACTCTCTATACTTGTGATATATATTCACAGTTAAGTAATAAAACTAGAACTGAATTGAGAAGCTGTAAAACCTCTCTTATTACACTCTCATTACACTATCTTTGGCATGGTATCAGAGCAATTGATTTTGGTTGTCTCTGCATAACCTTGTTCTTGCTTAATCTCTACTTACCTTTGCCCAATACTTTGCTGTTATAACCTTGTTCCAATCTCATACTTTGCCTTGCCTCAAAATTGGCTTTGATCACAAGCTATCTCATACTTTGCCTTGCCTCAAAATCGATTTTGGTTGTCTCTGCATAACCTTGTTTGGTGAAGTTCTATGCTATCTTCTGCTACATCTCTTTACCTATTTACCTCATGGGTGACACCAACGACTCAACCAACTCCACGGCCAACTCCACCAAGACCAACTCCTCAACTCCATCACCCCGTTCTTCTCATGACTACTCCTATCAAATTACTCCAGA